TCCGAATCACACCAGCGTCAATTGCTGTCNCTTTGCGGAGAACCCGGATAAATACTTGGACTCCTTCTCAGAGTAGGTACTACCTACCTGAACATATATTATGTACCGAGACATGACTCGCTCGCCTCAATTAGGAGCTGCTCTAAGGCTGACTGATCTTTCGACCTTATTTACAGAGAGTTCAAGGAAGGCTTTCTGGATATTTTGAAACGTCAATACGGTGGGAAACGAGTACACTCGAATCAGATCTATCAGGAATACATTCGATTCAAAGAGCACGTGCACATGAACTCTACCAAGTGGCTTACTTTGACAACTTTCGTCAAGTGGCTTGGCAAAGAAGGTCAGTGACATATTATCTAAGCCTGAGCATGTATTCAGGTTCGATAGCACTATGTCGGTCAAACTTCTCTGTTCGGGGGAGTCAGAACGTTTTCCCTGAACTTTTCAGGTATATGCGCTGTCGATGAGACCGAGAAGGGATGGTTCGTGACATACATCGACCGGAGCTCGGAGCCATACTCGCTGATGAGCGTAGGTCAAAAAAGAGGAAGATGGACCTCGATGACGAGGAGAGGCAGAATAAGTTCATCCAGGAACAAATAGATCGACTCAAGGCATCGTCGAATGCGAACGAAGAAGAGAGAGCGGAGGAAGACAAGCGCTTGCTCAGAGAAACCGATGGCGAGAAGCTAGTCATTGCTTTCGGTGGAAGCAAGCCCGCCGGCGAGAAAAGGTGAAATGAATCGCTTTCCGCTTGGAAATGATGATCTGGATCGAAGTCTAGAATCTAGAGGCCGGGCTTGCCGGGTGGAATTTCGGGTCAAGGGGGAGCTCTGCATATTAGGTCGAGATTAGGTATACTGCTTAGGTCGAGATTCCTCGCAGCATTTCTCCGTTGTTCCTCCTGAGACTGCCTCTTGTCGGTAGACTGTCGAGGCCTGGCGGAAAAATATCGCTGACTGCGTAGTGGAGAGAAAAGATAGGACAAGCACGGAGAAAGTGGCAACACTCCGAGCCGAAGCCCTCGAAACCATGGGTCTGGGGAAAAAACGGAATCAGCGTCCTAAACGAGTCTGCCTGGAAATTCATGCCTCTGTAAAGGGGAATGGATCAGGGGAATTTAATTGAATCGAAAAGAACGAACTTCGAGAGTCGGAATTGCTAAAGGATTAACTGCTCCCCTGATTGCAGTCAGGAGTCTAAGGTGACCTCCAATCCATTTGCTCGGTTGGAGAAGAAGGATCGATCGAGGAAACAAGAGGCCTCGTCCTCGAAGAAGTCGGCTCTGGACGAGATAATGATCGAGGAAGCTCGACGCAAGCGAAAGCGCAACGATCACTGGCTCCACCCCGGGATCGTGGTGAAAGTCATCACTAAGAATGCTGGGGAGCAATACTACAAGCAGAAGGGTGTTGTGGAGGTGAGTGAAATCAGTCCGGTGAGGCGGAGGTTTGTGCTTGGACGGAGCAGTATACGGGTCCACGTATATTCTTCACCGGCTGCACGTCAGGCTTGCAATGTCGGAGCCCATGAATAATCGCCCTATTCGAATCCTCTCTCCATTCATTCCAGGAAGTTGTCGATAGGTACGGTGCTCTCGTGAGACTCATCGAGAGCGGCGTGAAACTCAAGCTCGATCAAGTTCATTGCGAAACGGTCATACCATCTGCTGGACGCAAAGTAAAAATTGTTAATGGCCCCTACAACGGCCAGGAAGCGACGCTCCAGGATATTGATGTAGACAGATATTGTGCCACCCTCAAGCTCAAGACGGGGGTCGTTGTGAAAGGAGTAGAATACGAAGACTTTTCAAAACTGAGCGCGTAGCTTGTGGCTCATTCCTGTAAATAAATGCTTTTCCACCCCTGAGCAGAGAGCCGGAGATGCATTTCAGAGCAGCAGCTCTCGAAGCGCCGGTTGGTTTTCCGGGGCCCGGAGAGTTGAGCAGAATCAGCGCGGACTATCTAGATTCCATGTGCACTCGGAGCTTCTTGGCACGATGCTCAGTTCATTAAGACGCCCACTCCGATCGACAGGTTCTCTCGTAATCAGTCGTCCCTCCTAGCTATGGTCACGAAGTCGGCTTCAAGAAATCAGATAAATACAGAGACATAGCTTCGATCTTTTTCCAGACTGGATTTTGGATATTGAAAACTGAAGCTCAGATAACAGCCAGGGGACCCCATTTGGACTCGAGCCAACGGAAGTTCCCATTTACATTTTTCTAGACTCTATACATATGTACAAGTTGGACGATCCTATCGCGACGAACTCAGAAAACAGCGGATTCCTCTAAGGCGTCGTCATCCGGGTCGAGGAAGTTTTCGCCATTGTCAAAGTACGTATCCGCGTAGTCGTCGTCCACGCCTTCGTCTGCGTCGTCTTCATTGTTCTGCCCTTCTTCGTCCTCGGCTTCCTCCTCATTTTCACCTTTCTCCTCGTCGTGATCTTTATCCTCCGATAAAACTTTGTCCAAATTGATATCTGAAACAGCCATGACTCCGGGAGTTAGTCGAGAAAATCTCGAGTTGATGTGCACGCATCTATCCGAATGAGCCATTGAAATGTTCCTGAGGTGAACTACGGAGCAGCCTTTTGTCTTACCTTTGGCCTTCTTCACGACTTTTTTCTTGGTCTTCGTCGTGAGGACGGCAGGGAAGAGTTCCATTCGATAATCGTATTTTCTCTCTGACATTCCGTAATCCAACTGATCGGAATACCTCTCTATGGCTGGTTTCTCTTCAGCGAGGCGTACATGGAAGGCGTCTTCTCGAATTTCTGTCCGTAGTCTATCGTAAATGGTGGCAATCGTTTTCATTTCCTAGGAGTGAAACAATCGGCTTGAGTTCATCGAGAAACATAATTCTACAGCTGATTTGTCGACGTCCACGGGTGTATTCGTCGCGCAAATGATAATTTCAGCATACGCGGATTCTCTGGAGGAATAAACGCTAGAACTCACCTCCTCTAGAATACCAGGCACTGGTTTTTGCGATAGCGGCGGATAGAGTGGGGGAGGAGCTGTCTGAATCTGAGGCAAGCTTTCACCCTTGGTGAAGCCCAAGCGAGCCACGTCGATTGACGAATTTGATTTCGGTTTCGGGGGCATCTGCGAGAACGGAGAAAAATGTTTAAAGGATATAGGAACGCTCGAGAAGACCTTCCGGAGGCGTAGACCGGAGGACTTCCCAGCTGAGAGAAGGACGCGGTCGCGCTCCATCTGGACTTCTACATATCTTTCTTGAGTTCAGACTCGGACCGATGAGACAGATGAAATGACTTAATCATGTCGCGCTTACCGCAGAAAACGAGCAGATATCCGGCGTCCGAAAACCTTTGCATGGGAATCGAACACAATAACAGGCTACACTGAGAGAGGCGGTGCTTGGAAGCAGACGATTATGGGAAGGGTAGGAGACCCTGCTCTCCTCCGGAGTACCCTAAATATTATTTGTCTTTGTACTTTGTCTTATTCCATCCATTCGGCTCGTACATAGCAAGGAAGTTGGAATCAGCTCCACCTGGGGCAACTTGAGAGCACGATCTTGAGAGCTGTTGGTATGGGATCGGTTGTCATTCAGATGAGCCCAGCTGGGAGCTTCAGGGAGGGCTACCCTCCCAACTTCTGATATTGAATAATACAGATGGTTAAGACCCGACCATTTCCCAGAGGAACACTAAAAACTCCGACAACCTGAGATTCTGTCAATTTAGCGAGTTATCATGAATTACGGTAATCATAGCCACCGGGCTCCCGAGCGGCTGTCGCCTTTCCACAACCCACCATCTCCGCCAACGATATCGACAACTTCCGCGAAGGTTCCATGGAGAAATTCCACACCGATTCGGCAGCAGCATGAAATTTTGGATGTCGGCGCGAACGAAGCGAGTCGAGGACGCGAGCCTGGACCTGAGGCCTTCTAATGGCTCTGGTGCGCGGATTGCTCACCTACTTCGAGGACCGGAATCGTGCCGCGGTGAATGAGGACCATACAAGGAGCGCGAGCCTGTACGTTCTCCTTCGAGCGCTTCCTTGATCAAATAGCCTGTGTCCTAGGGATGAGGGACTAATTGTGAGCGTCCGTATCGTAGACCTTCTTCACGGCAGAGTCTATATCCATCCAGGACGTCGAGGAATGAAGGCGAAATCCATCTCTCATATCGCCCCGGATGTTGCTGATGTAGCCAAAACCCTGGTCGGGTCTTGATTTTCCGCTTCTTCGGAGAATAAAACACGGTGTGATTCATTGAGCCTAATCTATTCCGCTCCGATGCGGAGGAGACTCAACGGACCTGCGTAGAGACGGCGACACATTGCGATTCAGGCAATGCAGTCTTGATCTCGGACCTTCGCAATTTCAAAAAGTTGATGAGTTCCGCTGATGAAACGAATGGCGATAAAACGGAACGGGAATCAATTCGTCATGGGTGATTTCAATCCTTGAGGCCGCAATGCTCGGGAATTCGGGAACTGTTGGAGCCGAATCCACAGCGGTCAACCCCGACTCCGTGACAATGGAAAGCCGGCATCATTTCGTAAAATCCTTCGCACTGTAAGTCAGCATTCGACTGAATTAGGGAGGGAATAGCAGCGAGACGTGACAAGAGAGAAGCATCAATCGGAGAGCCAGTAGCTTATAGTAAGGGGGGGGCAAGGGGCCATACCCCCACAGCTCTATGGGGATCATCATCGCCATCAATCTGCCACCCCCCTCACCTCGAAAACATTGCTGGCCCCTCCCAGAAAAAAACCTTCATACTCCCCTGGACACTACATTATATGAAGCGAAGCGTGCGGCCGCAGCGCACCGATCCAGCGTTGGGCGCTGAGCGGCAAGTTTATTTGTTTGTGTATTCTGTTTTTGTGTCGGGGAGAGAGTGCGGAAGGCACATGGCAGCAGTCTGGATCCCAACATACCTATGAATATTTTTTAACCGCTAGTGCCGGCTTTTTCCCTGATCGTCTGTAACACCGACTGCAGAAGATAATCTAGGGAGAGACCCAGTTTGCGTCGCTACTCCGAATCTTCGCCTCATCAATAACTCAACAGACGTTTGTTGATAGATGCGGAAGTTTGAGGAGAGTAGTTTTTCGCGAGAGAACGGGGAGTTCAGCTCAGTGGAGTAGGAGCGTATGAACGTTTCTGAAATAAGATCTGAAGGCATCCCTGACCGAGTCTGCACAGACCATTCGAATTTGAGCTTACAAGGCGGAGCGGCTCGCATTTGCGGATTCTAGATCCCGCGGGCCTCTAAGTACATATTCAAACACAAGGGATGGATGCCCCTTACCGCGAGCTTCCATCGGACCATGCTCCGAGACGGAAGGAGTCCCTCGGCGACCATACCTCGGCTCTCAGGGGGAGTCAATTTGTCCGCCCGCGAAACAATTCCGATTTTCTGGAGAGCTACAACCCTCGGGTGAATGTTCAGATTGATGATTGCAGCCTTGGAAGCTCCTCGGTGAGGATTGTTCCGTGATCAAATTCTGTACAAAGCCGGTCGCTTGGCGTCCAGAAGGATGTCGAATCTGTTTGCGGAAGGCTGGACCGCTTGTTCTCGGCTCTGATCGGACCGGAGCCTCGATCGGGATCCCTTCGAGCGGGAGTTTCCGGTCTTCCACGAATGACGTGTTTGAATTTGCGCGCCATCTGGTTCCTTGGCTCCCCTGAACTCGGGAACCGAGGAGCAAAACACGTGAAGCCTTCGAACTCGATACTTTCCGCCCGGCATCCATGACTGCTCTGATGAACTCTCTGAGACTCGCGCCCGTCCTTGACTCTGCGCAGATCCGCAGGATGTTCCCTTTTGTCCCCGGGTAAGCCGAATCTGCGGTGAGCGACTTCACTGGGTGGAAAGAGTAAAGGCTTGACAACCACTGGGCTAAGCTGCGAGGATTCTTTCCTTCTTTCGGCGGAGCTCTATTCTCCACTGAAGACGTGTCATTCGCCACCGCCGTCTTCTCAGCGAAGAACCAGCGGCGTAGCTATCTGTTATCCCGGTTCCTCGTTGCGTCTCCTTTGTTTTCCACCCACGCCAATATGAACCGGAAGAGGCCAGTCTGTGACCAACTCCTCCAGGAGCGTGCCAAGGCGACTTTCCAAACTCTGGAGCTGACGTACCTCCTCGATGGAGATGAGGAAAAGACCAAGCGTAGGAAGGAACTCGGTAGGTGAAACCATGTCGGAGTGCTCGAGAGTGGAATGCGTTATCGGATTAATGAGCTGTAGCGGAATATCCGGATAGCCCTATCCGGAAGCATATTGCTCCTGTAGCCCATTGCCCGACGGGTGAAGATGTGCTCATAGTGCTTCCGAATGAGGTCAGCTGTACTTGACAGTCGATATATTCGCCCTGGATGAGCATTTAGGTTCCGCTATCAGTCGAACCCTAGCTCGACGGCATATGCTGTCGGGTCGGGAAGCTGTCTTAGAATTCATGGTAGTACGCGACGCTGCCGGAAGGAAGCTTCCCTGACATAGGAGGAAGATCCGGTTCGTTGCTTTGTCACCGAGGAAAGCGTACTGTGACCACGGAAAGCAGTGGTCCTTGATTCGGATGTCGTCCCCCCAATTATCTTTTCTCATTATCCTGGCTTAGAAGCGTGAGAGCTTGGATCGAAATCGTGGCTCGACCCGTGAATCCCGTGAACTTTTTGCCAGTCGGGCGTCTGCTCATGAATCGCCGTGCCTTACGCTCATGCCTTACCAAAGTCCCCAATGGAGATGTTCCGTCGATAGCTAACAGAGTCGGCAGACTTTTCGATGAATTTCTAGAGCATTGCCATGATTGAGAGGAATTCGATCTCAGAAGATTCAGCTGTTTCTCTCGGAAGAGTTTCGCCTCCCTGGAGCGATTGTCGCTTTTTGTCGGAAACGATTCAGCGTTACAATCTGCGATCCTAATCTGGGTAGAATGAATCGACGCCGTCTCCGGAAGAGCTCCCTCGACGCTTTGATGGGGCATCGTTCAGCTTTTATATTTTCGACAATCGTGAAAAGATGACCGGCTGGGGCTTAAATATATTGAGTTATTTCTTTTTATCAGCTCTGGGTATTCGACTGATTCAGTGACAGATGTGATGCGGGCTTCTGATAAGCGCAGTCTTTATTGATTTGATGAGATGAGCGGAACCAGGAACAGGAGAGATGAGAGCATCTACATCAGGTTGGATACGGTTTAGTTATTTTTGTATCATCACATACTTACGTTTTCCTCCAGAAAAACTCTTCCACGACGATCCACAATTCCAAGATGAGATCCCGACTGTGTACTTGTCGCACGAGGAAGCGTACGAGAACGCTCTATCAAAAACTCTGAAAATCTACCAGAAAGCCTTGGACCTGTCCGACCCGAGAGAAATCCTGTGAGTAAGAAAACGGTTTCACTATGCTTCCGAAGAGCCTTGCAATCAGTTCCTCGCATTGCCGCTGAAAGTTTGATCGGTCATGGTGACGCAGCATGTCAAGGTCCCCAAAGTTGAAGGGTAAACACATCCGCCTCATCGCCGGTCTGAAAAGCCGGTCAGCGAGAAAAATCAAAGTGGATGAGATGAGCGGCTCAAATTATTGCCAACGCACCATTGTGCGCCTTGTTCAGATTTCATCAGATGCCTTCTTTTTCGTCTTTCGTAACGACCGCTCGAACTTTAGCTTTGGTGCCTTCGGCTCCGATGACGCAGAAAAGTGGCGATGACTCAGAATCGATATCGTGTTCGACTTCTGATTTTCTTTTTTGCGCAGGACCGTCGCTGACGCCATCCTGCACGATGCCACCCCGGTTCACGTGCATTTCGTCATGTTCGTCCCCGCGCTCATGGGCCACGCCAATGAAGAACAGCAGGCCAAGTGGCTGCCCGATGCATTGACGATGCGAATTATAGGATCGTATGCGCAAACAGTAAGGCCCCTAGAAAGCGCCAGCGTTTCTTCAGCGGAATTATTCCGGCGTACACACATATCTGTGTCGATTGAGTATTAATAGATTCTGACGGAATCGCCGAGCCTCAGTCCCGAGTGCAGAAAAGAAAGATTCGACTTCTGCTTTAGGAACTCGGGCACGGAACCTTCATCAGAGGTTTAGAGACGACGGCTACTTACGACGAGACAACACAAGAATTCGTTCTGGAAACGCCGAAATTGTCTTCGATCAAATGGTGGCCTGGCAGTTGTAAGTTCCCAAGTTTCGTCCTGCCGCCGTCGCCTCGAGATTGTGAATGTATCCCCGGGACCTCCGAACCCTTCCTGAGAAGACTAATAATTTAATCTGCGTGCAATGCTTCAGTGGGCAAAACCGCCAATCACGCCGTTGTGATGGCCAAACTCTGGACAAAGGGCGAATGCTACGGAATCCATCCCTTCATGGTGCAACTCAGAGATCTGAACACTCATCAACCCCTTCCCGGAATCAATGTCGGAGAGATCGGACCCAAGATGGGACTGCGGTCCGCAGACAACGGTTTCTTGAAAGTGAGTCTAAATTTCGGTTTTTCTCTCCGGTCTCGAGATTCGGGTCATCGCCATTCAAAGATCCGCCAACGTTCTCCGCCGAATTCATCCGATCTCGACCTATCCCGACTGCCCCGAGATCTGGAGGAAGGACTCCATTGACGCAAAGTTGCCATAAATTTTCAGCTGGACAAAGTACGGATTCCTCGGGACAATATGCTCATGAAAAACGCCCAAGTGACCCCTGACGGCACCTACATCAAACCGAGGTCCGATAAACTGAATTACGGAACCATGGTCTTCGTGAGGGTGCTCCTCCTTGACATGTTGGCGTTCAACATCTCGAGAGCCGTCACCATCGCCACCCGCTACTCCGCGATTCGTAGGCAATCGGAGATCGTTGCTGGGTAAGGAATGTGCGAAAAACCCTGTCAGCGAATGAGACCACTCGACGGTCAAAGGCGTTTCTTGATACGTGACTCCTGGTTTCCAGGGCCGGCGAAACCCAGATCCTCGACTATCAGGCACAGCGGTACAAACTCTTCCCTCTGATCGGTTTGTGTCACGTGCTCCGCGGTATGTTCACAATTCTGATGGAGATGTACAAGCAGGCTAACACGGATTTGGAGCGTGGTGTTCTCGACACCCTTCCGGAACTCCATGCGATTTCGTCCGGCCTGAAGGCGCTCTGCTCCGACCAGGCATCGAAGGGAATCGAGGTGAGAAGATGCAGGCTCACGGCTTCCAGCGGGTTGGCTTGAGGCTCATCAACAGTTTTCGCACAGGGGCTCGAAGCGTCGCTGACATTCTGGGAATTTCCCCCAGGTGTGCCGACTCGCTTGCGGAGGCCACGGATTCATGCTGATTTCCGGCCTGCCTCGCCTGTACGCCACCACTGTGGCCGCGTGCACCTATGAAGGCGAGAATACCGTGTTGTACCTGCAGACATCCCGCTTCCTGCTCAAGTGCCTCACGGGTCAGCACAAATTGGGCCAGCACTCCCAACTCAAGTTCCTGCTGAACCCAGTGGCTTCGCCCGTGCAGCCCTTCAACAAACAGCTGTACGGACTCGAAGGCGCCTCGCATCTCGTTCAGTATTACGCCGCCGCGGCTCACAGGGAGCTGTACTTTGTCGAGGCCAAACTCAAGCGTCTCCAGGCGGAAGGTCTGACCAGTGGTAAGCCATGACTGACCTTTCGATCTTCTGATTGCGTAACGAATTCGTGGCCCATTGTCGTACAGTCAGCTGAAGGGGGAACCGATACGGGCAGTCGATTTCTCATATTTTTCTTCTACAGATAACGCCTGGAATTCGAGTCAGGTCGATCTTTGCCGAGCGTCCCATGCTTGTATCCAATACTACCTCGCGAAGAACTACGTCGAGTGGGTCGCCCAGAACAAGATTTCCCCCGAGTTGCGAACAGTTCTAGCTCAGATTTGCCAGCTCTATCTCCTCCAGGGGATTTACGAGAATCTCGGACGGTTCCTCCAGGTGAGAGGATGAGTTTTTCCGGGGAATATGCATCCGATATACCTGTGGAGGAATTATTCCCGGTCACATGAGCTTCATTCCTCGCTCCCTTCTCATAGGTGGGCTTGAAAACCGAAGACATCACATCGATGTCTGACCTGATAACTCGTCTCCTCGACGATATCAGACCGAATGCTGTGCCTCTCGTGGACTCGTTCGATCTTCACGACATGGTTCTGAGCTCGGCCTTGGGAGCCTACGATGGACAAGTGTACGAACGCATGTACGAGTGCGCTCTCCAATCACCTCTCAACAAGAAGCAAGTCGTCGACGCCTACGGAAAGTATTTGGAGCCCCTCTTCAAAAGTCAGCTGTAAGGAGTCTGACACGAGGAGGGAATGGGCAATCGACGGTGCGGTCCTCCCTATTGAGAAATATCCACTGTCAGCTGCGAACCTTTATATCAGATCGAGCTGTGAACTAGAACCTCGAGGTCTGCCTGCTCGAGCAGTCGCTATCCCCTGTGTAGTATTCCCACACCCCAACCTTTGGTAGGTATGACTACGCGGACTTTTGTGACCCGCGTTACGATTATTCGGGACTCCGACGACTGAGCGGATTTTGAACGAGCACTTGCCGAACATAATGACTTAATAAAACTGTTCGAACGACCGTTTCTACGGAAAATAAATAAAAACTGGTTTTCCTTGGCTCGGTGACAAACGCCGATGGGGATTCCTGAACACTGAATCAGTCGCGAGCTTCCTACTGAGTCGATTCCGTGCCATCCGGGACCATGAAGCACCGTATCTATACGGCTACAGAAAGTCGTAGGCTCCCTTGTGAACTGAAGGCTTTTTATTTTCCTATAAATCACACAACCGGAGCTCATATGTTCGCTATTAGCTGGAATTTGTTGTACTGAGGCTCGGGAACCACATGATAGTACTTCTTGTAGACAGCATCCATATATCGATCGTCGAAATGTTTCGCAACTGCACACTCGGGATTGATGTTGACTTTCTCTCTTGTGACGAAAACCTTGCCTGGTACCATCGCGTGTAGCGAGAGCTTCTCGCCTCTCACTTCCACGTTCAAGCCGGGGAAGAACCTGCGAATGGAGAACACAGTGAAGACAACGAGGAACTCGAGCTTTCTTTTGCAGATGAGAATATTCCGATCGCGGGCGATCCGACCATCCCACCGATGTTCATACTCCTCTCCGGAACGTTGTAAAACACTCACCTGGGTAGTCGTTGTTTGACCAGCATGACTCCTTGTTTAGCAAACTGTCCCGACCTTAGTTTATAACCGTACTCTTGGCCTTTTTGAGCTCCATCCTGTCGGCACGCTCGATTCCCCTTCGACCTGGCGCTAGCGTTACGGACCTGCTCAAAAACACAGCTCCGGGCGGCACACAAGGTGTTCCTCAGGTTCGGTAACATTCTTCAGATGAGCCCAGGAGCCCCCAGATCAATGCCACTGCGCACGCTGACAGGAAAAGAGAATCAACCACTCCGTGCCTCTTCTAGATCGGAGCCTAGGAGTTGAGAACTGCGCGAACGATGTTTTCGTTCCACCGCTTCGCATAGAAGCTTCTTCTCGTTTCGATCTGCAGCACTCAGAATCCCAACTTCGGTCGATATTCCTACTCGGCGATGATCGCGAATCGCGATTGTTAATCAAAGCTAGCTGGGAGGTTGGATCCGCGACCTATTCGTGCGCTGGAATGGCGTGTAATTGCATGGAAGTCTGAAAGAAGCTTCTATGATCGGGTCGCGCACCTGCACCAGGGTTCCGGTTTGAAACTTCACTGCGCTGCCGGAAGCTCGCTAAGGAATATGTTACCCAGCGCTCGGAGAGCTCTTGGCGGGATTGGTCAAGCGCGATTCGCTCAAGTCAGACTGGCATCGAACTTCACTGTGAAGTTCGATGAGTACGGAGACCCTCTGAGTGTCCTCAAACATGAAACCTGTGAAGTTCCGAAAGTTTCCGAAGGATCGGTGCTTCTCAAAATTTTAGGTAGGTCAACCACCTGCAATCCGTCAGTCTCTCGAGGCACCCCGTCTCGAGGAAGGGGGGAGGGGGGGGGCTGAGACAATTTGGGCAAGACTGACGATTTCCCATGGAGATTCACGCGACGCTCGGCGCTGGAAGCCACGCGCTCCACTTGGAGACTTCTCATCCGAGAGATATCCCCAGACTTGCGGACCGGAGAACAGAATATCTAAGCTCATTAATCGGCCGCCTCTGATTTGAAGGTAAAACATTTTTCCAGCGTCGCCCATCAACCCGTCGGACATCAATTTGATACAGGGAACCTACGGTATCAAACCCAGTCTGCCGGCTAGAGCCGGTCTTGAAGGTGTTGGAGAAGTCATTGAAACGGGCAGCAGTGTCAAGAAACTCAAAACGGGAGACTGGGTCCTGCTTCCAGGGGAAGCGTGGGGGACCTGGAGAGAATTTGGAGTTGCCGAAGAGAAAGGGTGCGAGCTCCTTCCCCAGCGCTTAAGTTTACTTAGTTCAAGGCTCCTGGTCAGATCACACTTATTGTAATCGAAACTTTTCCGTCAGGCTGCGGAAACTCTCGAATCAGCTCGACGTTGTGATGGCGTCAACGATGTTGGTCAATCCGCCTTCGGCTTACCGAATGCTCAAAGACTTCGTGGAACTGAAGCCAGGCGACACGGTCATCCAGAACGGCGCCAATAGCGCGGTGGGTCAAGCCGTGATACAAATCGCCAAAGCGTGGGGCATCAAAACCGTAAGTTCAGCTTTGGACGAAAACAACGTCGCGTGCAGGTCGTTTCCCTACCGGGGAGATTCAGATGTCATATCGAGACTCCGAATCGAGTCACTTTCAGGTCAACATCATCCGAGATCGACCCGACGTTGCAGATCTCAAGCAGCAATTAATTGCCATGGGGGCCGACCACGTGATCACCGAGGAGGAGCTTCGACTCCCCGAAATGAAAAATCTCTTCAAGCAGATCCCCATGCCCAGCCTTGCGCTAAATTGCATCGGTGGCAGAAATTGCTCGGATATGATGAGATACGTGGCAGACGAGGGATCTGTGGTCACCTACGGGGCAATGTCGAAACAGCCCGTCGTGTCTTCCGCGACAGCTCTGATCTTCAAAGACCTCCGGGTTAGAGGCTTCTGGCGAACTAGATGGGCTAAGAAGAATTCCGGCTCACCCGAAGACGATTCCATGTACGAAGAATTGCAGAAGATGGCTCTAGACAAAAAACTATTGCCCCCCAGACACACCGTACACAAGCTTCAGAATTACCAGGAGGCCGTGCGGAAAAGCATGGAAGGATTCACATCGTCGAAACAAATTCTAGTCAATATGTAGCAGACTCTCCCGGATTGAGAGGGTTCCGATTATATTGCTCAGAGAAATTATCCTTCTGTAAAATAAAGAGAGGTTTCGTTTCTCTTGTGGGGATCCTTCTGCCGTCCGGACCGGAAAAATTAACTTTTATATACTCTATGTACAGTATTCGTAAATTAGTAACTAGATCAAGCCCTGCATCTCCTTCATGAATTGGGCGTAAGCATCGTCTTTCGTGGGCTTGTCCTGCTGTTGCTGTGGCGGTGGCTGCGGATCTCGCTTCTGAGGGGGTCTGGCGACTTCGCTGCCCTTCTTGACACGCAACTGGGTCGGAACAAACTTCACCACCTCTTGTTGAAGGCTGCGCATCTGGGGTTTTGCCTGGATCGTCGTTTTGCCCGCGGTCGATAGCTTTGCCAATTTCGGAGGAGGAGGTTGCGACATGGGCGGAAGTTTCGGCGGCGGACCCATCGACATTCTTTGCGGCGCTTGCGGAGGCATTCCTGGGGGCATCATGAATTCCGGAGGAGGTGGGCCGGCTGGGGGGTAGGCATTCCACATGGGCGGGGGAGGCATCGCCATGGGATGCGCGGGAGGAGGAGGGAGCATCGGAGGTGCTTGTTCCTTCTGATGGACCTTCTCGAGCTGCTGAAGGAACTCTAGCACTTCATCCTTTGCCGTCGTGGGCTGAGGCGCGAACCTCAATTGCTTATCGCTTTTCGATTTGACCGGGGCGCTGACGTGAGGTGCCGGATTCGCCTGGAGTTGAGTGGCATGGACCTTTTTGGGCGCGGTCAGAGTTACCGGTGGTGCTTCTTCCTCCCCATCGGAGCAGTCCGACAGATCCGGCGGGGGACCGATCGGCACGCCGGGGGCTTTGGACTTGACTTCGAACGTTGTGTTCCCCTGGACGGTCTGCATGTTCGTGAAGAACGAGCTTGGATGTTTCTTGAGTATACTCCTCGGCGGTGCTGAAGGGGGTGCGATCGGGGGCATAGGAATGTCCTGAACAAAGTCCAGAGGGGCTGGCAGAGGGATCTGGTCGGGGGTGACCATTTCCGCTTGCTTCACAGATTCAAAGTACTTGACAAGCTCGTTCCGTCTGTTCTCGTATTCTCTGTACATAGATTTCAGCTGAGTGTACTTCTCCTGATCCTCCTTCTTGTATAGTGTCTCGACTCTTTCGAATGTCTCCATCAGTTTCCGACGCTTATCGGTGAGAACCTGAAAACGAAATCCAATTGATGGGGACTCTGACAGAAGTCGTCAGACTTGTTCGCCTATCACTTTTTCACAGCGGATTCCGAATGGCATGTGTTCTCCGGTCCGACGGCTTATATGTTTCATCCACGTACCTTTTCCGAGAGCGGGGGAGGCGCTGCGATATTGTATTCCATCTCATCGATTTTGATGAGATCTTCAATTATTTGCTGGGGGTCCTTGCCTTTGAGAACCGCCTGTCGGACGGCCATACGCTGCTTCTTGTTCTTCTTCAATTCTTTTTTCCGCGCCTCCTTCCTGGCCTGGTCCGTGGGGTTCATGAACTTCCCACCTTTGGTGGATGTGAGCGATCTTCGACCCATTTTTCAGCTTGGACACTTTCTTCGAGTTAGCCACAACTTCTGCGCTCGACTGTTCAACTCTGTCTATTTTTGTTTACATTCGACGAAATCTCAAACAGGAGCCCTCTCCCAGCGCTTCGATGAGACCGCTCGACCTTCTCCGGGGGATGGGGGACGTCGGCGCGGCGGGTTGCAGGGATCGATCTCGAGATCGCTCGATGTCTTTGGGACCGCATGCCACACCACCGTACGCTTGCGTATTTCTGATACGGAATCCTCGAGCTAACCCGTCTTCTTCGATCGTATCCCTGCAGACAGTCGCTTGCCCGTCTCCGCCCAGCAGCTGCATCGATGCCCTACTTTGAAATGAACGCGGCAGCCGGCTCGGTGAGGAGCGCTCTTATGGCGCTCAGAGTCAGAGACTTGCCGCGATTCTCTCGAAAGCCTCACATGAAGACCTTTTCTAGGGTCCGGTGACAGCTGCCAGGAGGAGGGTCGACCACGTGTTGTGCCTGGAACGATTGCGGTGTCTTGCGAGGCTAATTTCGAGCTGTGAAGTGAGACATATATACCCTGCATACCGCAGTGATGAGCTCCCAACCACAGAATATGTTCGTTCTCGATAACGGGGCGTCCACCCTGAAGGCTGGATTCGCGACGGATGCCCAGCCCAAAGTCATTCCGAACTGCATCACCAAAGCCAAGTCAGAAACTAGACGAAGGTTTATCGGTGATCAACTGGAAGACTGTAAGGACATGTCCTCCCTGTATTACATTCTGTGTCATGAGAAAGGTTACCTCGTGAATTGGGAGGTTCAAAAACAGGTGATTACAATGCGAAAAATTTATTGCGAGCAAAGAATCAGAACCCCCCGAATGCGAGAAGTCCTCGCGCAACCCATACGTCATACAGAGAAACCCTCGGAGGCAGCTACTGCAGGACGTTCCGAGGAGCGTCTCGCTTCGGGAGAGACCGAATTCTCAAATCTTTGTCCTCCACTCCAGGTTTGGGACTACGTGTTCAGCAAAGATTGCTTCAACGTAGACTTCGACTCCACCGGAATCATCATGACAGAACCCTATTTCAACTTTTGCTCAATCCAAGAGAATATCACGGAGATCTTCTTCGAAGACTACGGCGCACAATCGCTGAGCATCATGAACCCGAGTTCGCTCGTGGCCTACAAATACCTAATCGTGAGGATTTCGTCCTTTCTGACGGGTTGAATTGGAGTTAGGATGTTCCCCACTCCTGTGTACGCTCACGACTTATGTTCGGCGTTTCAGGATAATCCGAAAAAGCTTTGCTGTGCGGTCCTCGACTCGGGCTACTCGTTCAGTCACGTGGTACCTTACGTGAAGAAGAAACGTGTCAAAGACAACATCCGGAGAATAAATATCGGAGGCAAGGCTCTGACCAACTATCTCAAGGACGCTCTCTCCTACAGGCAGCTGAACGTGATGGACGAGACCTATGTTGTCAATCAGGTGAATGAGCTCTCTGTTTCTTCGCACAATTGTTTTGGTTCCCCTTCTGCGGGATGCTCAACATCAACTCGACTCCCACCCGGGCTCTAAGCATTCCTCTCCGTCGGTCGACAGGTCAAAGAAGATGTTTGCTACGTATCGCTCGATTTTCATCGAGAGATGGAAATGGCAGCTCTGGGGAATTCCAGGGAGAACACAATTTGGAGGGATTACGTTCTTCCGGATTACACATCGATCAAGAGGGGTTACGTTCGACCTCCGGAACAAACGACGGGGAAGGCCACGAGTGCCGAGCAAATCATTAGAATGAACGCAGAACGTTTCCAGACGCCAGAGCTGCTTTTCAACCCGTCAGACATAGGCATCGAGCAGATGGGCATCTCCGAGGCTATGATGCACTCAGTGAACGCCCTCCCGAAAGAAGTTCAATCTCATATGTACTCGAATATCGTTCTATTGGGCGGCAACGCGATGTTCCCCAACTTCAAGGAGCGACTCGTCCAAGATCTGCGAATGCTCATCCCTGAATTTTATGATATCAATGTAACATGCGAGAACCCTATCAATGCGGCTTGGGAGGGCGGCAAGGCCCTCGCGCGTTGCAAAGAAGATCTTGACGATAAAGCGATCACAAAACAACTCTATGAGGAACAAGGGATCGCCTATTGCGTGGATTTCTATAATCTGCTCTGAAGAGATTTTGGAGAACCGACTATGAAAAACTTTCCGAAGCTCTCGCCCCTCGTGGGAGAATCGAAGTATTCTTCTGTAAAGCAGTGTCTGCCGCGTAATGTGATTCCTCTCTGTACATAATATAAGATCGCGGGCTCGCTCCCCTTGGAGCTCGCTTGGATTCCGAATAAATGTGCGCATTCTCGTTGGTACCCTGCGAGATCGCAGTTTCATCCCAGCTCTCATCATTTATTTCCTTGAATTGCGTCGATACCGATGCCCAGGACTGGTGAGAATGGGAAGCCAGCGGGGAAAATTTTCAGAAGACAGCTCTGGTCTCGTGGCTTTCGAAATGGGTCTGGCGAACGCGCAGATAGTGGGACGCGGTGATCGACCTGTTTCAGAGGAAGTCTCATTCCATCAAATCCAACTGATTTTCGTGCATTTTAATGCATACCGAGTGTTTTACGGGATGATGTCCGTAGTCTTAGCGATGAAAGAGGAAGATCGTGACGGAATAGTCGAGGGGAAACAGTGAAGAGGTTCGAGGAATGAAGGAGCTCGAGCATCTCTACGCTGAGCGGCTCCCATTTTACTGCCCCTCACATCTTCTAGGACTATCTCATGAATATCCACGTACCTTCTCATGAATGCCTAGAATCTTGCGGTTCTCGACGTTGATTTGAGAAGTCGTAGCGCTCTACGTTCAAGAACCAGATCATCCAGAGGCATAAGGGAAAACACAATCGAATGCGCTCGTGCGATAGATTATTGTCTCATCTTTCCTTTATTATTTATTACCTTCATCATTTTCCTCTTCATAGACGTAATTAATTAGATATTCAAACTTTACAAGCCTTAGTTGGGACAGATCAACATTGTATTCCATCAAATGCCTTTGTCGCCGGTATCCGAGAGCGGTCTGAGAACTGGTTGACTCATTGTTCTTGCGGTTGCGATGCAGTTTTTCCACCTTCGTCCTCTTCCCACCCCAAGAACCGCAGAAGACCCGCGGTCCCTGAATGGAGTTGAAGTCTTACAGGAACGTGGCAGGTGAATCTTACGATTTTGCTGTTTCCGAGGGGAGCTCAGCAGAATTAAGGGGGACGCTGAATGTCACGCGCACAATCGGATGAGGGCTCGTTCACATCGTCTTCAATTGAAAGGCGGAACAATTTCTTCAAGTCCATCATTATTTAGATACTTGGGTTTTTTTCGGATCAGGTTCGACTGCTGCATAAGTGATCCGGCACTCCGTCGGAACGTTCACGCGTTTCAAGTGTGTGTACTTTCCGCCGTTCCTCGCTGTATAGGTACACGCTATGTACAGTGTCTCCTAGTAATTTAATCGGCTGCTCTTGTATGGTCCATCTTTCATTCCTTGACGTGAAGTTCACCCTTCTCGGGTCAGCTTGGTTCTTAAGATTCCGCTTTACATTATTTTCTAAAATCCTAAAGTCACGTGGGTCAGAAGTTGTTCGGCCGTCACTTCGCCGCGTACGTAATAATACATCCATGTACAGTATATGTATTCCATAATGACTAGCAATTCCACTTGGAATCCGAAAACCCATTTCAACCGAGAGCGGCCGCTGCAAAAGGAAGGAACAATCGATCAATGGGACGTCCGGGCCCGGAAGCTTTAGGATCGCGAAAATTCAAGGGAACGGGATACTCACGTAGATGAGGTCGCCAGGGCGCAGCTACTTCTTGATGGTGCCAACCGGTCGTGGCCTCAGAAGAAACCATGTCGGCGGTGTACGCCGGCGGTGGGAGCTCGACGGAGTTGTCCATCACGCCGTAGACTCCTACGGGCTGAGGTCCCCCATTGAGTTGGTGAGCTCCCATCCCCGCACCTCTGCCCCACATGAGGACGCTCTGCCGACTGTCTAGCAGCGGAGATGCCGGACTCTTGACTCTGATCGGCTCGGCGGCCGCGGGCAGGAGCGGGAGGTGCGGATGCGCGCCGGTCTGCACGAGCAGACTCGAATTATAGGGCACGGTCGTCGTTCCTGTCGTTGATTCGTATTTTTGTTCCAAAGTGTCTTTTGCGTGCTCGTACGTGCCCGTGAAAGGCGAATACTGCGAGTACTCCGACGGATAATATCCTCCTAGATGGTGTCGATAGTGGAGAAACTCGGGGGCCGCCAGATGGAAAGGACGCGAGTTGTCGAAAAGAAAATTCTGAGGGTAACTGGACAGCTCCGGGTGAGTGTAGGTGGGGTAAACGGAGTTGTAGGCAGGCTCCGAAGGGTCGACAGTAGGCAAGTGGTAAGCAGGTGCCGGTGGCAGTTGCATTCCTGTGCACACGTCGGGCGAAATGGCCGTTTTGATTCGTTTCTTGGCCACCTGCATCGACTGCGATTCCTTCTTGTACTTCCTCCTGGGCTTCTCGGATTCAAGTCTCGTCGTGTTGTCCTGCGACAGGGGTGGAGTGTCTGGCGAGGATATCGAGCCGGACAACAGCTGATTTAGTCCGGTGTCGAGATAGGTCACTTTGAAGTCCATCGTCCGTTTGCCCAGTAGGTCGCGGCCTTCCTCCTCCCTGGAAACGATTCCCTCATCAGTTTGAAAGCTCCAAAATTTTCATATGGGACTCATTGTGCAAAAAATGAAAAGCCTGTATATGAAACGGATAGCCATTTCCCCGGATCTCTCGTTCGGCACTCACATTAACGGTCTGTGTGTGCAAAGAATGAAGTCCGGTTTGCTGTTTTTGTAGACGAGACGAGTGCTTGTCTGGAGCCATTGCCAACTCCCGTCTTTGGCACTGAGACGGTACGCGATCAAACCTGACGCGCCTGTCTTCAGAACTGTGGGAAAAGTCTCGCGTGAGTTCGGGCAGAGAATCCAGGACGCTCCGGGGCATAATTTCATCGTGTTATGAGCACGATGTATTCGGGATGAACGGAAGAGAGCTGGCCTGCTACGAAAGCCCTTACGTTCTTGGTGCGCAGAGGCGACGTATTCGAGATCGTCGTGATGAACGAGGTCGTAACCTCCAAAGTTGGCGATGTCTTGATCTGTGTAGTTCAGCAGCTGTTTACCCCGCGCGTCCATCGACACGAGGGACAGGTCCAGTTTGTGTTTCGACTTGAACATGCTTTCCTTCTGAGGCATCTCGAGTAATGACGGTGGTCCGAACGGTGTGCAGACCGCGAACAGAGCCAGTGGAGGATCTTCCGTCTTGTGGTTCTGGCCGAGAAGAACCTTGATGCGACCCTGAATGTCCAAACGCTGAAAGGAAGGCAACGAATCTCTTATCGAGAGTAGCTCGATCGAGCTAAATGCGAAGAGGACCGTGGAGCGGAAACATTATCGATACCCGAGGGATCAATTGCAAGCCCCGAGTTTCCGTGCCAGCTTGCTTGCTTGCTTGCTCGTCCGGTCGTTCGAGCGAGTATTGTGGAGGGTTCGATCAACAGAAGTTTTGCAATTATCTTAAAACGTATAGATTTTTCATCAGAGACCAGTTCTAAGGAGCAGAGACAATCAGCGGATGTGGGCTCTGGCTCGCTAAGGTCGGTTGGCACCAATTTCATCCATTCATCCGTTTGCTCGGTCGGAGTCCTCCACTATACACAAAGATTAGGGCCCCAGTCACGCCATTTCTGCGGCCGTTGACAGCGTTCTAACGAGAACCCCCCAAACGAGCGAGCGGCCTAGCTTTAGGTATCCGAGTGGGAACTGCATCGAGACTCGACTGCACTCGACGGACGAACGGCCGGACGGACCGAGCGACCGCGTGACCGACGGATTGACGGGGGCGGGTACCCCCTCCCCAACTTCCCCTACAGCCAACAGCGAAACAGGCCGGCGAGGCACAAAATCGATAATTCTCTCTCGGTGAAGACCTTGTCTGGATTCGAGATGGCGACGAAGCTTGACCAACACCCGTATCAACTCAAGCGGTTCTAAATGGCCGCGCTCGCCAACGCACACACAGCGATTTCAGGCGATAAGATCTCTGTTCGCGACTGATATGATCGAATTTTGAATAATGTTTACGTGCTTGATGTCAGCAGTGGAATATCCGCATATTGTAGAACTCCGACTATGATTTCGCGGGGTTTTGACGAAGCTCAACAATGAACAGTTGATAAACTCACCAGAAAGCCTGACGTGTTATCGAGCAAGCATCGGAATCGGACAGTGAAGTTTCTCTCGAGGTGTCGGTGGAGCTCTGTAAGAGGAATTTTATTTTCAGTGCAGGACGAGAAAAAAATATAAGAAGATTTCGTATTGGTCAAGGAAAAGACCCGAGAAGGGGCATAGCACAACAGAGACGCTCCAGCAGGCGTGCTCGAGGGAGGACGTGGCTCACCTGGAGACTGCAGCATGTGCTGCACGGATATATTCGCACGATCGGCAGGTAACTGTGAGTTCCACATTAAATAGCGCAGGAGATCATCCCGATCTTCAGAATGCACCAACTCAAAAACACTTTGGTGGCAGATGTCGCTCTGAAAGAATAAATATTAAGCGTCAGAATGGGAAACGAGGTTATTTCGCTCCTCGCCCGAAATACGGGGTCTGATTCCCGTTGGTCAGATCGAAGCTTGGATCCGAGAGAAATCTCGACGCCAGTCTCGAGGAAACTTCCTGGATTCAGCACCATGGTCGCACGAGAAAGCGAACACCTAAGGCCAAACGGCCGAGCCAGCTAGCTAGCTAGCTAGCAAGCAAGACAGGCCAACCAGGGCGGATGGCCTGAAGGGAGGAGGCGAATCACAAGGCGCCACCCAGGTGATGCTTTATTATTTATAATTATCCGTTACTCTATTCTGCCTCCATTGCTACAACTCCACCACGCCCCTAGGTGGGTACTTCGCACTGAACACCTTGTGGTCAACGATGGTGAAGACGACGCCGACGTCAACATCAACGACTCCAACGATATATCGGTGGCATATTCAGGCGCTCAAGGAGAGGGGGTTTGCCTGCAGATTCGCTCATCGATTTCTCCACATAATTTTTCCGTCACAAAGCGGGGTGCGAATCGCTCCCTGCTCTCGACGCTAAATTGTGAACTTCCGATCCGACGCTTCCTGGACATTTCCATTCCAAACGAATCGTGTAAAGCAGAGTTATGTTCTTACCTGATGAAAACCTAGGTATGTTTCAACTGTATGCGAGGCGAAAAACACTTCTCCATCGCACGTGAGAATTAGAAGAAATCCGTTGAGGGCCTGAAAATTATGAAATTCATGAATGATTCCGCTATTCCTATGGAGTCCGTCCCGTCGACAGTTGCTGACCTCGAGGAGACAGAATATTTCTCCCATCCATGATCTATGTCAAGACATCCCGTCAACAGTCTCGAGGAATGACGGATTCGCGTCGAAGTCCCGCGAGAGACCCGATTATTAATTCATTCCACAACTTGATTGCAATCATTCAAAGCTCCAGGGGCTCTGGCATCCCATTCCCCATGCGTGAAATTCGTATTCCGTGAGGAAAAAATTTCCCGATCCCCTTCCCAGCGTTGGTTGTGGGAAATCCGCATCGGTCCATTGACTGACAGTGAGAGTTCACCACGGAGAATGAGAAACGTACGCGAAAGTGAGATGGCGACGAATGGAATAATCACATCAGACGACGCGACGGAGACTGCGAACGTCTGCGCTCAGTCTGGAGCCTCTCACCCCTCCTGTCGTCACGAACGGCTGCTTGTCTCTCCAACTCCCTGACATCCCCCCGCTCACAGGTTCCTACGCGGCGCTTTGCGGCGCGAATTTGCATAAAGGGCCCATTAGGCAACGCGGGCAGGCATGCAGCCAGACAGCCGCTCCAGTCATGGAACAAGGCCACAGGTGAGACGCACGTGGTCAGCGCGGGACAAGTGCGCAGGTCCATTGAAATTATTTTACAGCGCTCCGTAACCTGAAGCGATCCGCGGGCCTTATTGTGCGACCCGAAAAAATGCTCTGCGCTGATCCGGAAGAGCTCATCCAGAGAGGAATTTGGGAGAAATGTTCTTTCTCCCGAACGATTCGCGTTTCTACTTGTTCATTCACCATGGAATACCCATACAGCACTGGGGTATCAGTCTTCACAGACGGTGCATTACCTACTCGTAGAAAACGAACGGGTCTCTCAGTATATCACCACCACCAACAGCAGCAGCAGCTGCCGCGACGGCGGCGGCGTTCGGGCTCGCTCGGCTGTGGGCCAGATCAAGGCTGGGTCGATGTTGTTTCCGAAGCTCACGCCATGCGCTCATTCTTCGTATTTGATCACTCGTCCCCCGTCGGTTGCCGCTTGCTATGTGTCCTCCGAGTTGGACCCAAAACGCTTGATGCCTTTCGGAGGACCGTAGAGACTCGCCGGCCGTAATAGTTTCGTTATTTGTTTGCTCGCTCCCTTGCCTACCTGCTCGTCAATTGCTGCAGTGAGCGTACATCGGAGTCGATTGATGTGCCAAGCCGGTTGTTCCTCTCGGTTTTTTTGTTTCGGAGCGCAAAACTCCAAAACGCGATGGATGATCGATCGAAACGGCGCGGCGGTCGTATGCCGGCCCCAGCGAGAAGGACCCGAAATATTCCCCACAAACGCAAAGTCTCGAATTGGAACATCTCCGATCAGGAATCGAATCCTCATGCTCCCAACTCGGTTTTGGTACCGTGGCGCACCGGCACGGAAGGGGGATTATTCTACGCCGCGCCGGAATGACGTTCGACTCGAGGAGAGTCTAAACCAGGGTTTACGTGTCTACGTATCGGGAGATATGTACATCGCTCCGGAATCCGACATCCCTTATTTTAGAGTTTTCGGGAACGCGGACCCTGGCAAGGACAGGGGTTCCCATCTCTCAGACGCATATCTTTCCTCCCGAGGGATTCTCTGGGAATTCGAAACCTCAAGGAGCCCGAGTTGGAAATACGTGGTCGTTATGGTGGTTTTAGGGGAATCGGTTCCCGGTTGTGGAACTCGCTCGCTCAGTCTCTTTGAGCCGCGGCGGAACAACAACAAAGATGTCTGTTCTTTTGAGAACCCGCGCGGGGGTGAAAACAAACCGACAGAGGAGAACGTACGAGGAAGAGGCAGTTTGGTGTAATAGGCGAACGAGCGGACGAGCAAGCGAGCGAGCGAACGAACGGAGAAGAACCGGCGCCGTTCTGATGATTGTGGTCTTTTACTCCCACCCACAGCCAGCAATTTGTTTCCGGTCTCGAATATCTCTCGCGGGCCTTCCTTCGCGCAGTTTTGGAACGTAGGTAGGTTTGAATTTGCATTCGAGGCCGCCACGCCGTAAGCTGTCCCCAAGCGGTTACTCTGTATGCACATCTCGGCCAGTCAAAGCGTTCTTGATGTTTTAACTCATGTTTCGACAATTCGCCCGCAAGCCCCGGCGACTGAGATATCGAAGTTCGGATTTTCTGTCCGACAGACGGTCGGACATTCACGTCATCCTCAGATCGAGTCGATGGATCCTTCTGCTTTACGCCCGATGGCCGAAACAGAAAAAACACGGTCGGCCCTCCAAGAGTTCATCCAGGCTCCTTACGGAGTGGACCGGGTGACTTCGCCGCTGACTTGTCATAATGAGAGTTGTTCCCATGGCGGCCGCCTCTCGCCCCCTCGCGATCCTCTCCACCAGTCACAAGCGCTGGCTTGCACTATCCGAACCCTTAGTACGGAGCAAGAGGGTTTCAGGGACTTTTGGGGGAATGCTCAACCGACCAAGCGACCAACCCAGCGACCGAGCGGCCGAGAAGGCTAGGAACAGCTTTTTGCAACAAAGCCGTTTCTATGGCGACTCCTCGCAAAGGACGGAGGGATGCTTTGCAGATTATGCCTCCGAATCATTCCCGAATCCGGTGTCCCGCCTGATTGGGAAGACTTTCGACTAAAACAGCAGGGCGTTGAAAAGGCTCACCTGAAGGATGAGATCTCCCTCTACTAATGACTCGATGTACATCATGTCCCGGGTTTTTGACTGATGTAGTCCACTCAGCGACTGAGATGCTGCAACGAAAAGAGAAGGTTCGATTAAGTTCCCTCGTCAATCACTCTCGATCTATCCAGGGGAGGGAATCGTTCTTCCAGTGATGGAAAAAACGAGCGGATTGCTATATCATCAACCTCTGATCTGAAGGCGGTAAGGAACGTATCCGAGCGTCGAAAGGACTGTTGCATGAATATGCATCGCAGTTATTGAAAAATAGCTTGATCAACGTCTCTCGTGCTTCCGCGATAAAGAGATCCGGTCGCTTCCTCAGATTTTCTCGGAAGCTCAGTAGTTGAACGCCAGGCTCGTTCCGTTTATGATGGAGCGTTTGCACCAGGGCTCGGCGTTGCGACGAACTCCGCAGCGGAAACAACGGTTTCTTTCATTCGCTTCGTGGAGCTAATGATGCGTTCTGATTCCATGGACGTAATGAGGATAACGACAATTCGTTCAACGGAAAGCGCGCCCTTTTAGACTTCGTTGGCAGACCGCTTGGCAACGCGAAAATCCTCCATTTGGAAACCCGGGCTTCCATTAGCTTGAATTATTCATTCTTGGTGGCGGGAGCCGCTGTCTCCCTATAGGAAAGGAGTTTCCCCCATGCTTTGCACGGGAGTTCTGAACCGGGCTGCGGCCTGGACTGAGACTCGACGGCATATTCCTTCTTCACAGGTTTCGCTCGAACTGCACGCAGACACCATAGTCTCGCGGTGCTTCTTATTCCGATGTAGTGGCCGTTGACATTCCGCACAGACACAAATCAATTCATTTCCATGCCGATTTTCATTAGAGCGAGTTTTTTTTGTCACTCCGTCATATAATGGTCCTGACACACATCGCTGCCGTAGTCGTCATCAGCCCCAGGTTATTCCTTTCGAGCGACGCCATCTCGACACATTCAATAACGCATCCGCGGACGAACTTCAATTTGACAACGAGTGAGTGTGACAACACCTTCTTCTCACGGAACCTCTTCCACTCGTAGCGTGCGTACGAATTTCCAAGGTAGATTTGAGCGACAGCATAAAAAATTCGTTCCAATCGACGCGCGGAACCGATACCACGCGAGCCGCCGATATCGATTTCCTCTATTGCGATAAAGTTGTCATTCGCTGAGAATTGACGGCTCGCCGACTAGATTTTGTGAACCTAATGGACTACCCCGTCCGAGTCCGCAACGCTGTGGACCTCGGCTAAATTCCATAATGAATACTCGTGGATCTGATTCGACCCTGTGCCGAAACTTCTTGAGTTTCCTTGCGGCGAGATGGTATGATGAATGGATTCTCGAGGATTCAGGATCGCAGCTTCTGCGAGCAGGAACCATCCAGAGACTACACTTCGTCTGGATCTGACGAAAAGAGGAGAAATCTAATAAGTTCTTAGATTTCAGTGTGTTGAGCAATCGCTTCGAAATGACATTCTCCCAAATTCAACCTCTGCTCGGAGAATACACCGGTCCCAACTCAGACTGAATCAGGCCGAGCACGACGAGCTCCAGAGCGGCCCTGGGCAACGTCCTCAATTTCCCCGATCCTTTGTTGGTCGTCGCTGTCGTCGAGAAATGGAAGGGAGGAAGTCTGCGGCAGCAGCACAGAGGGCTCATAGCCGAATCGCGTGCCCGCCAAAATTCGAAATTCGACTTTGGTTTCCCTGGGGTTCCCGTGGATTCCCCATCGGCTCGTCTTTCTTCCCTCGTCGCTCAGGGCGGCTGGAATGCTGGGCGGTCGCTCCCACCGGTGCGCTATCCGACATTTGTTCATCCTGTCTTCATCTCGAATCGCAACAGGAAAGGCGTCGTCTTCCAAAGATAGTCCGGAGGACCGGATTGAGAGACAGCGCCGAGAGTTCCGTGCGAATAGGAACGACCTAGCCCTCAGCCCATTAGACGGAGATCGGTCTGGTTTCCCTGTTCGATACTCTTCGGATTCCATGAGGATTCCGTTCCATTAGCCGCACCAAAGGAGTCGAAGTGCTGAAAGGTTCCCATGGATTGGAGGAATGGGATGAAGATAACTTCACGCCGTTGTTCCGACGCGGTAGATATAAATGACCTTTCGCTGTGAGTTCCTCCTTTTCATCTCGACCGCTGTGGCATCGTGAGCGGAGAAAGCTGACGATGCCAAGGAATCGGTGAAATATTTCTGCTCTCAATGAGTCTTCGCCGATTTGAAGCGAGGGCTGTTCGTGGCCGCGTCAAACTTGTCGTTTCTTCGATAGTGGAGTTGATCGGCCTTGTCGCCATCTCAGTCATCTCCGCTCACATGAAACCCCGGCCCAAATCGGCTGAGAAAGTGCTGACCAGGCAGCACAAGAGATGAGCATCGCTCCTAACTGAGTTCCCATACGGAGGGTGTGGTTTACTTCGACACAAAAAAAAAACACAAAGAAGGAACACATGGGGATCAGTTTCTAAAGTCAGTTAATCAGTCAGTTAGCGATCGAGCGAGCTAGTCAACCAGCCGGCAAGCGACCAAAAGGATGATAACGCCAACAACGATACAAAACACCGACGATAAGATAAGCACGCTCGTAGATAACACACTAGCGTCGAATTGATAGAAATTAATGCGCTCGTCTGCGAGGCGGACGAAGAAGAGCGCGGAAAGGTTCGGGAACCTCTCAATGCTCCTTAAAACACACACTGGGTGCTTGAAAACGATTGTCAGCGAGGTAGTCAATTAATTTCATTCATGATAAGAATCGCCAACGAATGCGAGTCAGCCGCAGCTCGAACGCCATGAGCGGGACATGGGAGGCATGCATGCAGAGTGCCGTATCAAATTACTATTATCATTTAATTATTGTGTTGCTTCCACATTGTTTGTATTTCCAATATTTTCTACAGTATTCGTACTTCCATTCGTATTACGGCGCCGGCTGATTCGCATCGGTCTCCATCGATGCGGCATCGGTACGGATGTGAGTGAGTTACCCAGTATTAAACGACCACGGATGATGCCTGGCTTGCTGTGGCGAATCTAGCCACAATCTAGCCAAGCAGTCAGTCAGGCGGTCAAAATGGCTCAATTTCCTCTCCGACAAGCCCTCGCACTCCCTCGTTGTTCCCCCTCCGTCGCAGTCCCCGGAAACGGATAATATTCGGACGGAGCCGCTGACTCTCTGATGGAAAGTCGGCCTTTTTGGCAACATTACCTCCGCCCCCTACCCTTACCTCGTACCCAGCACAAGCCTCGTTGTTTGGTGGGTTGCTGCCGAATGCATTAATGGCAGAGGCGACCTGGCAACTACTGACCGGTAACTGCTGTTTTGATGCTTGCCCTCTTACTCTGACCGTCAGTCAGGGGACGAAGGGGTGGTCGGTGGTCTCCGACTAGAACTCGGGCCTGATGATGGAGTTAAACGTCGGCAGTGCCCGCTGACTAAGTAGTGTCCCGCGCGGGTCAGCCACACCATATTTCGCCATCGCGGCTTCCTCTGTACCGGCGACAGGCACGGAGAGAAAAAGGGAGGGAGAGAGAGAGCGAGAAAAACCCACTGAGCTGCCGCCGCCGCCGTCGGATGGATCTGACTGCTGTGCCATTGGGAGCTATTATTCCGCTGCCGCCTCACTCAGCTAGAAAGCCATCTCTCACTCACATAATGCGCCCCTGCAACCAATGGGCTGGCAGCTTTGCGTTTCGCTCTTTTCTCGCTCCGAGTGATCCCTTCGAATTCGTTTTTTTTCTGAGCTTTGCGAAACTCGTACCGAACCATGAGCATCTGAGTGCGAATATGGCGAGCTCGGAAGGAGTTCGTATCCGAACGAGCTCCGGGGCATCTCTCGTGAGGACCGAGGCTGATTCGATGGAATTCCTTCCCCATTCGACGCCGAGGGGACTCGATTTCCGATATTTTTCTGAAATTTTGGCCTCACAGATCTCCGTCCCGGTAAACTGCGGAACGAAGCACAAGGCTGACTCCACGAGGAAGGCCGCTCATCGTGCCTCGTTGTCGTGCTTCATTCTTAGTTAGTCTTTGGAGACGAGCGAAAAAATCCTGAGGAGATTATCAAGGTTCGTGACCCTCGTGAGTCACCGACCGAGTCTTACCCTCCCATCGCACTCCTCGTTGCTGTCGGTTTCCTCCACCTTCACAGACCGCCAGCTCCGCTGCTTACCTGCCGGCTGGGTAAGAGATGCTGGCTGCGGCACAGAGGGCGAACGAGCGGACGCCAAGCCTCAGTGAGCTCGATTCCCGCTTTCCTGCTCCGAGCGAGTAAGACCAGCAGAGAAGAGGAAGAAAACGACGACGACGACGAAAACGACGAGAAAGTCTTGCCGGCCGACAGGAGAAGCTAGGGGTTTGTGCTCCACCTCGCCTTCGGGCTCGCCAATCGATGCAGCTCGCTCTTGCTCCCTATCTATCACAGACACTTTCTGAATATGGTGGCATGCCCCTTATAACCTAGACCAAAAAACTCGGCTCGAAACCAACTTCTCACAGGTCGAACCGCTTCGGGGTCTGGGCCGGAACCCAGAGCGGACCAAATCATCCAACCCCAGATGAGGTGACTGACTAATTTCTGGAGTTTAAGTCTCCCGACCGCCTTCTCTGGAGCGGAGAGTCGGATCGCTAGGGGCTGGAATTTTTTCGTTCTCCGAAAGCGGGACAGACCCAATGAGCTCGGAAACCGGAGCAGGTTCACTTATTCAACTCAGAGAAGGTCGAAGCTTTCTCAAAAGTGTTGTCTATCTCCCTGTTTAGTTCTACAAGGCCAGATATGAGAGCGGGCTCGTTACTGGTCGTCGAACTGCGCGATCGGTTAGCGCCGTGAGTCGCACGAAGCCAGCTGAGGGAAATCGATTGGAGAATCGAGCCACGGCTGAGTTCACCCGTCTAGGCAGGCGGGCAGCAAGCAATTGCCGCCGACCGACCGACCCACCGACCGACTCGATGCGAGGGCCTCCCATCTTTAGCAAACTGGGAACTAACTCCACAGAGCCCGTACACAGAGCATGCGATTCCGGCGCCGCGCTGCAATCATACTAGAGGATGAGTCGGGATGCATTCGGAC